CTATGTGGCATGATGACATGGCGGGTCATCACACTCTCCCCCACCTAATGTTGCGATGACCGCTTCGCAATGCTGCTGCATAAACTCTCGGATCTTATCTTTGAATTACCATAAGTCTTCATATCATTCCCATGTAGCTTCCTCCGGTGATTGCCCTTTCCAATGGACGAGGAACATAGCGATGGCTTTTTTCCCTTGTTTTCGCCTTGCCTGGTAATCCATGATAGCCTCAATCTCCTTTTTAATGCGAGGAGGTGATAGTCATAGGCGCTCGACTTGATTGGCCCCTACTCGGATCATCTCTATCTTCATGATATGGCTTAAGCATGCTGGCATGGAAGACATGGTAGATCTTAAGATACGATGGCATGTCAAGCTTGTACGAGATCTTGCCTACCTTGGTGATGATTTTAAATGGCCCCTCATACTTGCGAATCAGATTCTGATGTATGCCTCGTAGTGCCTTGAACTGTCTTGGGTTAAACTTCACCATGACCATGTCCCCAACTCTATAGTCCGTGGGACGCCGCTTACGGCCCACAAACTTCTTCATCTTCTTAGATGCCCTATCTAAGTAGGACATAGCAGTGTCAAGCTGCTCCTCCCATCCTTTGGCCATATGATAAGCCCCCAAACTCTTTCCCTCGAATGCAGATGGTAATGAATGTGGAGTTTGTGGTTGTTGGCCTGTGGCTAGCTCAAATGATGTCCGCCCCGTGGACTCACTCAACTGTAAGTTATAAGAGAATTGGGCGATGCCTAGGAGCCTTCCCCAATCTTTTTGATACGCGCTTACATAATGCCTTAAGTAGCATTCTAGTAAGGCATTGACCCGTTCCGTTTGTCCATCTATCTCTGAGTGGAAACTAGTGAAAAAGTGCAGTTCTGTGCCAAGTATGTCAAATAACTCTCTCCAAAAGTTCCCAGTAATACGTGGGTCTGGATCACTGATAATATGCCTCGGTAAGCCCCAATACTTCACCACATTCTTAAAGAATAACTTGGCGGCTTCCTTAGCAGTGCAACCTGGTAAGGCGGGCATGAAGGTGGAATATTTGGAAAACCTATCCACCACCACCATAATAGTACCATAATCGTTGGACTTCGGTAGGCAAGTCATAAAGTCCATAGTCACGCTCTCCTATGGACGTTCTGCAACAGGTAGTGGCTCCAAAAGTCTTCCTGGTTTTTGTTTCTCAACCTTGTCCTGTTGACAGACAAGACAAGTCTGAACATAACACTCTATGTCATCTCGCATGTGTGGCCAATAGTAAACTGACTCAACCAAGGCCCTAATGCGACGCTGGCCTGGATGACCAGCCCACATTGTGTCATCACTCTCCCTTATGATCCGCTGTCTAATGTCTCCAAACTTAGGCACGTAGACCCACCGACCTGTGGTAAGTAGTAGGCCGTCTTTGACCGAAAAATGTCTCGTATTGCCCTGGTTGGCTAACTCGATAAGTTATTTGGCTGGTGGATAATGTTGCATGCCTTCTTTTATAGCCTTACAAATGTCCCATCTTGTTGATGTGATTGCAGCAAGCTCGGCTTTCTGACTCAAGGCATCAGCTATAACTTTACGAATGTCGCCATGTACGAAGGCAATGCACAATAGCAGTCATATCTTTCTCTTGCACTGTGTAATGCTGCTTTTTCATATTTAACTTGAGGCTCTCAAATGCTATGGGATGCTTATCCTGCATCAAGACATCCCCAATGGCAAAATCCGAGGCATCTGTATGCACCTCAAATATCTTGGAAAAGTTAGGTAATGCCAAGACTGGCTCTTCTGTTATAGCTGCCTTGAGGTCTTTAAATGCCTTTTGATAATGCTCCGTCCAAACCCATGGCTTGTTCTTATTTAGCAACTCAGTCAATGGTGCGGCCTTTGTTGAATAGCCAATGATGAACCGACGATAGTAGTTAACAAGGCCAAGGAAGGATCTCAACACAATTACCTTTATAGGTTCCTCCCACTCCTGGATAGCACGTACCTTAGCCTCGTCCATACGTAGCTTGCCATTACTAATAACGTGGTCTAAGAAGTGCACCTTTGATTGCGCAAACTCATATTTCCCCCTCTTGATGTATAGCTCGTTCTCCCGCAAGACTTGGAGAACCTTTCTTAAGTGATCCATATTCTCCTCCAAGGTGTTTTTGTCAATGACTATGTCGTCTAGGTAGACTGCCACGAATTGATCAAGGTATGGATGAAAAATCTTGTTCATAAGGGTGCAAAATGTGGCCGGTGCATTGGTTAAGCTGAAGGGCATCACCAACCACTCTAAGGCTCCATATATCGTCACATATGTTGTCTTTGGTTCATCCCCTTCTGCAATACGAACCTGGTAGTAGCCCTTGTGAAGATTCACCTTGGTAAAGTACTTGGCTTGCCCAAGTCTATCGAACAGGTCAGCAATGAGGGGGATCGGATACTTATTCTTTACTGTGACCTTATTAAGTGCTCGGTATTCTATGCACAAGCGCATCGATCCATCCTTCTTCTTATGGTACAATACTGGTGCATCGAAAGGTGCCTTTGATGGGCGAATGTGACCAGCATCTAGCAACTCTTTCAATTGTTTCCTGAGCTCCTCTAGCTCAGGCGGTGCCATATGATATGGAGCAAATGCTGGTGGCTTAGCCCCTGGCTCCAACTCAATCTTGTGATCCACCTCTTGCCTAGGCGGCAAGTGCTTAGGCAACTCCTCGGGCATGACGTCTTTGTTTTCCTCAAGAACCTTCTCTATGCAAGGCGACGGTGTCTCTTGAAAACTCTTGTCTTCCTCCAAGACTTGCGATGGTTGCCACGAACATCGGCTCCCCCTTCTTGATCCCCTTGACAACCTGCATAGCTGAGAGTTGTGCTTAGATCTGTCCGTGTGGCATAGTCACTGTAAGTACCATGCAAGCTCCTTCTCGCTCCATAACCAAGAGATGTTAGAGGTAGGGGTCGATCAAATTATGACAATGTCTAAAGAACTTTTTCCCCAATATGATGTCAAAGATATCCATAGCAGTTACGGTAAAGTTTGTCATACCTTTACAAGTTTCCAATTTGACACTAACTCCATTAGCTACCCCATGAGCATTCTGTACCTCGGCATTCACAGTCTTGACGCGAGAGTTGGTTGGAGCAAGCTTCAATTCTAGTCTCTTTGCGGCAGCCTCAGTCAAGAAATTATGAGTTGCTCCAGTGTCCACCATTGCACGAGCAAGTTCATTGTTGATGGTGAGTTCGACGTACTGATTGCCATTTTCGGTAGGTTGGATACCTTGCTTCGTGACAGCACCACATAATCTGATCATACCCAACAATGTGGTTCCCAAACTCTCTCCTTGCTGCTGCTCCTTCCGTTCACGGACCATGGCGCTGAGGCTCTTTAGGTCGGGACAATTCCTGAAGCTGTGCGACCCTCCGCATATGTAACATCCATTCTTTTAGGCTTGTGCCTTCTTCTCGGCGTAGCCCTGACGGCCACTCTACTTTTTTGAATCTTGAGTCTTGTAGTATTGTTGTTGTATCTCCTTGCCTTTGCCATGGTCTCCCCAACCTTTGACATTGTTAAACTTTGTTTCTTTGCCTTTGCCTTTTTCATGCTTGTCATTTCTGAAATCCATCAATGATTCGGCCTCCACTATGGCTTGATCTATATTTGCGACTTGCCAACGTTGCAACTCCTCCTTGGCCTAATTTCATAACTCGTCCATGAAGTGGAACAACAAGTCATCATTAGTTAGGTTGGGGATTTGAAGCATAAGGGTAGTGAACTCCTTGACATAGACACGTATGCTCCTTGTTTTCTTCAACTCCCTAAGCTTGCGCCTCACCTCGTACAAGACATTATTTGGAAATAACTGTCTCTTGAACTCGGGTTTGAACTGATCCCACGTGCTAATAGTACATAGACCTTTATCCACATCGGCCATCTTCCTTCTCCACCATAGCATGGCAGTCTCTAAGAGGTACAACACTACAGTGTTGATCATGGCCTCATCGTCCCTCATTTTGTCGTGCCTGAAGTAGTTCTCCAAGTGCCAAAGGAAGTTTTTCACTTCTTGTGCGTCACGGACACCTTTGAACACCGGGGGTTTGGGAGCGTCGATCTTGGCCTCCCTTGTCACCACAACATTGTTGGCTGCCTCGGTCACGCCAGCACTAACATGCTTCTCGAGTGACTCTATCTTTGCCTTTATAGCATCGATAGTACTCAAAGCCTCCATGAGTCTGCACTCTAAGGCAGTGATGGTTTGCCTTAGTTCCATCTCAGTCTGTGTACGTCCCTCCAAGTCTTTGCGGATACTCTCAATCTCTTCAAGAGTGTGCCCCTCAAGAACGCTAAGGGTGCCTTCCACCTTCCCGAAGCGTTGGCCAAAGATCTGCACGGCGTCCATCCCCACGTTCATCTTCATCACCCACTCTTTACTGAGCGAGACGTCCTCGGGCAGGACCTCCACTTTATCCTCGCTCGCCTCAGTGGCAGGTGGCTCTTGGGATGTAAGCCCTTCGTTTGACACAACCTCGGGTGGAACCTCCTGGCTCTTGTTGGTGGCATTCCTCTTTTTGTTACGGCCACTCTTGCCAGCAGCATCTTGGATGACGTTGGCTTGGGTGTTGGTAGCGTTAATTTCTCCGTCATTCGACATTCCCTTAGTTGCAACCTTTGCTCTGATACCACATTGTCACGTCCTTAGTCGTTAACTAAGTACATGTGCGGCACTTGACAACTCGCTCACGATCTTGCACAACTTGCTCACGTTCTTGCTATGCCAATTCAGCCTTACTACACTCAAGATCGCTAAGAGTATGGTAGAAAGAACACAAGAGAATTATTAAAGGAAGTTTTGTATTAGAGAGAACTTGAATTGTTTGCTTGGTGAATTACAAATGAATGGCCCCCTTTATATACTAGTCTCTTAGGGCTAGTGTGTAAATATTAATTGTTATACAAGTCCTTAATATTTACAAGATAAGGGCTTTTTCTATAATTCTCTACAAGCCTAGAAGATTCCAAAGACTTTTCTAGCAAAACCATAGGGATTTAGGGTCTTCCAAAGGAAATGTCCATACTTTTCTAGAATCTTTTCACAAATGCTAGTTTTCCTCCTATGTAAGCTTCCACATGACTTTAATATATGCCAAATAACACCTATGTGGCATGATGACATGGCGGGTCATCACAATTAGATGGAATAAGACAAATACAGCAGCAACAATCATATTAGTCATCGTTGTTCTTGTATTGGTTGGCCTCTGTTTGCACCGGAATCCGATTATTAACGATATATAGTTGAGCTCCCAGTTTTTAACAATTAAACTGATCACGAGTTCTAACTTGTACTGTTTGGTAATTAGGTATTTACTAGTTGTTCTTGTTGCAATTTGTTTGGTATGTTTAAATTAACTATGTAATATTTTTCAAGCCTGCTATATATAGATGTTCTCTAATATTGTTTTTGTTATGGTTTCTTTGGTGCTTTTAAATTAACTATGTAGTATTTGTGGGAATATTTCTCAAGCCTTCTACAAGTTAGTGGCATATGGCCTAACTTGTTGTTTATGTTGTAGTATTACAAGACATAATATTGGTAAGATTTAGTATAAGTTAATAAGATGTTAACCATTTTGTAATATATTACCTTAGATCTTATTATAAAAAAATTATTTAGTAATATGAAGAATATTTGAGTAGTTTAATTTAAAAAATTTAATTATTTTCACCGTTAAAAATTAAGCAGTTTCCTTTCTTTCTATTTGCAAAAAGATTTGTACTTTTTTTTTCTACAAACTTTAATATTGTCAAACAAAAATAAAATAATAACCTACAGTTAAAATATTTTGGGACTTAAAAATTATTGGGAGCCTAAATCAAAGGTTTTAATAGCCTCACCTTTGAGATGCCCCTAACCTTAATTATTTATCAGATGGTTTGATAATTTGATTCCAACACCAACCTAAACCCGCGGGGTGGTAGCCTGTAGGTGCTTAATATTTAATTTTGTCGCAACATTAAGGTGTACAAATATATAATTTTGANACCTTAATTATTCATCAGATGGTTTGATAATTTGATTCCAACACCAACCTAAACCCGCGGGGTGGTAGCCTGTAGGTGCTTAATATTTAATTTTGTCGCAACATTAAGGTGTACAAATATATAATTTTGATTGTGTGATGATATTTTCTTATATAAGTTTGTAAAATAAATATTTGATCTGATCTTAAGATGATCTTCAGCAGAAATTTAGGTAATCTTTCAAGTTAGTAGGATAATTAAGATAAAGAGTTTCATGATTGAGGCCTAAATTATGCTGCAAATCAGCTATGTAGGATGTATATGCTCCTCTTTATTTTTCCCCCTCTGCCTTTATCAAATGTCCATAGGGACTTTTGTCCACTCTTCAAAAAGTTAATTTTCTTTTTGTTATTTTGATTCAGTCTTTGGTACCGCCTTTAGGGTTGTTCAAAATCGAACCATAACCATTAATCAAATCGAACCGATGATTTATTGGATTAATGGTATCGACTTATCAGGGTAATGGTTGGTGAACGGATTAAGATTTTATAATTAGCGACTTAACGATTTGGGGGCGGATTACTCAATTTTTTTATCGAATAAACCGTTAACCCATTAAGAAGTTTTATATTTACACTTTTATATGGGATCAACAAAAGTTACATGAATATTATTAGAAAATAAATCTGAAAATGCCTTCAAGTTTTCAGTCAAGTTTTGCAGGTGTAGGGGATTTCGATTGTATATAAGTTTTGTCAGTTTGGCCAGTTTTCAATTTTTTCCTTTTTTGATATGAAACAAAATAGCTATCAACCAAAAGAAATACTTATAATAAGTGTAGTACAGATTATAAAGTCTTAACAGATTCTATCATGTAGCAACAAATGTTAACAAGCCTAGTAAACTAAAAGGGGATGGAACTTATAGTCGAGTAACTTTATGAGGTTTTGCCGTTTGGTATTCACAAGACTAGGATTGTTCAAAAATTTTCTATTTTATTTAGCCGATAAATCGCTCAATAATCGTAAATACGATACCAATCCGCCCGTTATCTTATTGGATGACTAACGGATTACTATATTTATAATTCAATAACCGATAAGCCAAACCGTTAAGCTTAATTATCCATCCGATCTGCCCGATAAGCACCCCTACCCGCCTTGGAGTTCAATTAACTCCTGATTCGGGTCGAAAAGTCCGACAGGGAGGAATAAAGTGATGCGTAACTGTCACGACCCAAAATTCATTATAGGTCGTGAGGGCACCTAACGCCGCCGTCCGACAAGCCAACGGTAATTTACCAATTGAATTACTCATTTTAGTATTTTTAAAATCATAATTTTCCTTAATTAAACAGTGTAAAATAGAATTTACGGAGTAAAAAAAAAATAATTGCATGAACCACAATAATGAATAACCTGAAGGAACCCCCAAAATCCGGTGTCACAAGTACATGAGCATCAACTAGAGAATATGATAAAATGCAACATATGTCTAGGATACAAATTAGACAGGAGAATGTAAATAACTCTGATGGAGACTCTATATACTGCGGACCGTAACATGGAATGCAGCTCATCGTAAGTCTCCACGATAGCCACGCCTCTGCGCCTAAAAGACCACTAGACATATATGTACCTGCACAAAATATGCAACAAGTGTAGCATGAGTACATAAATCAACGTGTACCCAGTAAGTATCAAGTTTAGCCTCAAAGAAGTAGTGACGAGAAGTCATCATCGACATTTATTAAAAGTCCAATAAAGCAATATAATAAAAGCGTAAGCAGGTATGAAGCATACGGAAATAGTGAAGTAAATCTGTAATTTCATAATTCTTCCAATTATTCCTTTTTAAAGCATAAATTATTTTTCTCAGTCTCGTGTTATATCTTAATATCTTGTAACATACCTGGTTTCCATACCAAATAAATAATATATGCCATGGAATGCCAGGCATCGATGAAAAAAAACTAGCTCGTGAATATTCGGCTACTAGCAGTATAATGCACGATTCTGCCGAGGTCGTTCGGCCCGATCTAGAATAACGTGTACACTGCCGAGGGACGTGCGACATGATCCATAGATGCATCTATACTGCCGAGGCGATCGTCCCGCTCCATAATAAAGAAGGACACTTGATAAACCTCCGGAATGAGAAGCTATCACAAAGCTAATACATAAGGATGTACAATTTCTATTAACGGTCGAGTAACTCGCACAAGAATTCAAGTTCGTGAAATTTTGGTCTTTTACTATTTTCTCTAACAATTTGCAATATGATTTAAGTACTTCAATTAACAAAGGATGCAAATATTACAAGAAATTCATGATTTGGGTCCTAAACTACCCA